CCATCTCTTCTTCTCTAATCTCTTTCTCTGCACACTCTCCTGGATCTCCTCATTCCACCACCAGGTCTCTTTGTCCTCCTTTCTCTGCCCAGAGGACATACCTAGCACCTTCCTACCTGTCTCCCTCATCACTGCAGCTGTAGTCTCCCAATCATCTGGGAATATCTCAACACTACCCAGAACTGCCCTTACTTCCTTCCTGAAGTCTTCACAACATGTCTCTTTCCTTAGTTTCCACCACTTGATCTTCTGCTCTGTCTTCACTCTCTTCCTTTTTGTCACCTCCATCGTCATTTTACACACTACCATCCGATGTTGTTTGGCTACACTCTCACCTGCCACCACCTTACAGTCTCTAATCTCCCTCAGATTACATCTTCTACATAGAATATAATCTATCTGTGTGGACCTGCCTCCACTCTTGTAAGTCACCCTATGTTCCTCTTTCTTTTGGAAATATGTGTTTACCACAGCCATTTCCATTCTCTTTGCAAAATCTACCACTGCCTGTCCTTCTACGTTTCTCTCCCTAACACCAAACCTGCCTATCACTTCCTCATCTCCTCTGTTCCCTTCCCCTACATGACCATTTAGGTCTGCTCCAATCACCACTCTCTCTCTCCTGGGGATACTCTCTACCATCCAATCTAGCTGCTTCCAGAACCTCTCCTTTTCTTCCAACTCACAGCCCACCTGTGGGGCATAACCACTAACAACATTAATCATCTCTCCTTCTACTTCTACCTTCACACACATCAACCTGTCTGACTCTCTTTTCACCTCTACCACATTTCTTACATGTTCTTCCTTTAGGATCACCCCTACTCCATTTCTCTTCCCATCTGAACCATGATAAAACAGTTTGTAGCCTCCTCCAATGTTTCTAGCCTTACTGCCCTTCCACCTGGTCTCCTGCACACACAAAATATCTACTCTTCTTCTCTCCATCACATCAGCTATTTCTCTACTTTTCCCTGTCATTGTACCTACATTCAAAGTTCCAAACTTCAGACTAACACTTCTATTCTTCATCTTTTCTCTTTTTCTCCTAACCAAACGCCCTCCTCTTCTTCTCTGTCTCTGTCTCTGACCAACAGTAGTCCAATTTCCATCAGTGCCCTGTTGGTCAACGGCACTGTTGGCGGCCGTTGTTAACCCGGGCCTCGACCGATCCGGTATAGAAATCGTTTTATTGATCTGCATATTTGATTTAGCTAAACGTTTTACGCCGGATGCCCTTCCTAACGCAACCCTCACCATTTATCCGGGCTTGGGACCGGCACTATAAACACGGCTTCGAGTACCCTAGTGGCTGGCTTGGTCGAAAGCCTTTTTCCAAGTCCCCAAAACACATGTGGACCGGTGGGGCAAACTTCCATGAACCCTCAAGCACCCTGTGGAGGGGATAGAGCTGGTCCAGTGTTCCACGACCAGGACGAAAAACCAGGACGAATTGTTCCTCTTGAATCCAAGGTTCGACTATCGGCCAGATTCTCCTCTCCAGTACCCTGGAATAGACTTTTCCCGGGAGGCTGGGGAGTGTGATCTCCCGATAGTTGGAACACACCCTCCGGCACTTTTTGAAAAGAGGCACCACCACCCCGGTCTGCCAGTCCATGGGTACTGTCCTGGACTGCCACGTGATGCTGCAGAGACGTGTCAACCAAGACAGCCCCACAACATCCAGAGACTTGAGGTATTCAGGGCGGATCTCATTGTCCACTGTCCAGTACCCCTCTCAGTGCCTGCAAGAAGGCCGGGTATTTTACACTGCTATTTGGCCCATAACCGAAAACAACAGTGAGACACCTATCCCTGAGCCGAAAGCACAGGGAAGCGACCCTCTCGCTCAGTGGAGGGAACTCCAACACACCACTGGCAAGCTGGGGAGCTATAAGTAAGCCTACGCCAGCACGCCGCCTCTCACCGCGTGCAACTCCAGAGTAGAAGAGAGTCCAGCCTCTCTCGAAGAGTTGGGTCCCAGAGCCCAGACTGTGCATGGAGGTGAGCCCGACTATATCTAGTCGGTATCGCTCAACCTCCCGCACGAGCTCAGGCTCTTTTCTCCCCAGCGAGGTGACGTTCCATGTCCTCATAGCCAGAGTGGTTGTCCAGGGATTGGGCCGTCGGGGTCTCCGCCCACAACCGCCACCCAAATCACAAGGCACCGGTCCCTTGTGGGCCTTCCTGTAGGTGGTGGGCCAGTAGGAAAGCGTTGCTTGTTCGGGCTGAGCCCAGCCGGGTCGTGAGCAAGGACCCGGCCACCAGGCACTCGCCTGCAAGCCCCAAAGGTGGGGCCCCGGTGACGTCAATCCGGGTGACGTGAACCTCTTTGATGTTGTTGTTTTCTTCATCAGGGGGGGAGGGGGTTGAACTGCTATTTGTTTGATCCGTTGCCTAGGACCTGTTTGCCTTGGGAGACCCTACCAGAAGCATTAAGCCCTCGACAACAGAGCTCCTAGGTTCATTCGGATACTCGAACCCCTCCACCACGTTAAGGTTGCGGTACAAGGAGGAGTGAATAAACAGTCTTAGCATTTAAATGTAAATATCAAAATACATGAACAAACATAGAGACCAGTTCTCTGGTCTTGCACCAGGAACATCACTGGTTCTAGAGAGTGTGTGTTCTCCTCCTCCTCTGGTCCAAGTTTTTGCCTGATTCTTTGTTCTATTCTGGTCTGGTGTTTTCTTACAGCTAGTAAACGGGGACGTCTACCCCCCGTCTGTGTCCAAGGTCCCGGTACACATGATCTACCCTGAAGGTTTTCCTGCAGAGCAACGTCTGGCTATCGGTCAGGAGGTTTTTGGCATCCTGCCTGGTCTCACCATGTACGCCACCTTATGGCTGAGGGAGCATAACAGGATCTGTGACATCCTTAAAGCAGAACATCCCACCTGGGACGACGAGCAGCTGTTCCAGACCACTAGGCTCATCATCATTGGTGAGGTCATCAGATCCTAGGATTCTTACATTTTTTAAAAATGTCAGCATTTATAAACACTGAACCACACATGTTTCTATTAGTCTCTACTGTATCGTCTATCTTGAAGGTAAAAACTCATCATTAAAACCACATTTTATTTTATATCACAGCAATCCTTATATACTGTACTATATTTTTTTGTAGTACAGTACTACATTTTTTTGTAGTACAATGGACTAATTTCATTAGTCCATTGTTATTAGGACTAATGAGGGAGTTGTTTAGAGGGCCGGAACGGATTAATTTTTTTCTGTTATTTTCTTATGGGGAAAAATGATTCAAGATTCGAGCACCTCGAGTTACGAGCTCTGTCCTGGAACAGATTATGCTCACATCTCGAGGTTCCACTGTACTCCCAGGCCGCTCAGACTGTTTCAACTTGTTCTCCCGACCAGGAGAGATCATCAACATCATCATAGAGGAGTATGTGCAGCAGCTGAGTGGTTACCACCTGGACCTGAAGTTCGATCCCTCCCTGCTCTTCAATGCACGGTTTCAGTACAGCAACCGCATCGCCCTGGAGTTCTGTCATTTGTACCACTGGCACCCACTGATGCCTGACAGCTTCCTCATTGATGGGGATGAAATCCCCTATCCCTCCTTTTTTTATAACACCTCGCTACTGATGCATTACGGCGTGGAGAAATTGGTGGACGCTTTCTCCAGACAGCCTGCAGGACAGGTCAGAGCCCTGCCGTTACTGACACTGACGATGAAGAGAAGGGAGTTATCACTGTGTTCACCTGGGTCATTACTTCACACTGTCATTGACTGTAGCCTGCAGCAAAACTTTTAAACCCATTTGAACCAAGATTTTGATTTAGACTTTAGATTTAGACATTTGACTAATTTTATAGTTTTAGTTTAGTTTAAAAAAATCAATATATGTATATATTTAAAAATATTTTATAATATATATAAATATATGCCGTTTTTCCGGACTTTAAGTCCTACCAGCAAAAAAAAACATAATGAAGAAAAAAAAGAAAAGTATTGTATGTAAGTCACTCTGGAATATAAGTATAAAAATAATGAACATACATTTTTAGTGGAACAGGAGTAGCAGATACTGCAAGCCTAGAGTTCCCTAGTGGCTGTCAGTGTGAAAATAACGAACATGAGAAATTATATATTTTAATATGTAAGTCGCAAATCCAGCCAAAGGATGAAAAAAGTGAACTTATAGTCCTGAAAATACGGTATACATACTATAAACATATAACCACCACATAATTGAGTATTTTAAAACTTTTTGTGGGTCTCTTGATGACATTTATTTTGGCACAAAAAGATGAAAACGGCGTTGCAGTTCTCTGACTCACAGTTTCTATCTTACAGACACAGATGTGAACTACTGACTCATTTAACACCTCCTAGACAGAGCTTTAAGGTGTCCGTCAGATAAACACAAAAAAAAAAAAAACTTTTCAGCAAAAATATTATGTATTAAAAACATAATGTTTTGCTATTTTTGCCAACTTGTGATATTGTAAAGTATGAGCAATGATTGAAGACTTTTATCTGGAGCCATGTTATAAAGAGTGACATGTGGAAGTGAGATTTTGTCAGTGATGGTGAAATTTATGAAGTTTCTTAACTACTTTTTCCAGATCTCAAAGATAGTGTTTTAGCAACGTCAAAACTGTAATGTAAAGCATCAGATCTAAGACAGACAACACTGAAATTGCTACCATACAGAAATTCACAGAAACCTGCAGACACACTTTCAGTCATTTAGGGTAATTCAATTTTTGTCTGCCAGATCGGTGGAGGTCGAAACTCCAATGAAGTTGTCCTGAGAGTGGCAGAGATGGTGATCAGAGAGTCCAGAGCAGCACGGATCCAGCCCTTCAATCAGTACAGGAAACGCTTCAACCTGAAGCCGTACTGCTCTTTTGATGAGTTCACTGGTAGGAGGGGGATATTTGGCATCTTGTCGTCTACACAAACGTCTAAAACGTCTAACATTTTCTCTTATTCAACAGACGACCCAGAAATGGCCCAAGGTTTGGAAGAGCTCTACGGTGACATTGATGCTTTGGAGTTCTACCCCGGAGTCCTGCTGGAGAAAACGCGCTCTAATGCCATATTTGGTGAGAGTATGGTTGAGATGGGCGCTCCCTTCTCCCTGAAAGGCCTGATGGGTAATCCCATCTGTTCTCCGGAGTACTGGAAGCCAAGCACCTTCGGAGGAGACACTGGTTTCAACATAGTTAAAACAGCAACTATAAAGAAGCTGGTGTGTCTCAACAGCAGGTGGTGTCCGTATGTCAACTTCCACATTCCAAGAAACGAGGAAGAGGCCAAACCACGGAAACCATCAACGGAACTTTAGGTCATTTTCATAAAGTTTAATATTAGGGTGCCGTATTTGTAAGAACTAGGTTCTTGTACAATGACAAAACAAAATCTGTTTGGGGCTAAATTAACCTCTGTTCTATTTTTAAATTAACAATTTTGTTTTTTGAGATTTTCTAAAATCACGTGCAAGGATTAAGGAGTACTTTTAAAACTTCAAGCCAATTTGTGACTTCAAATTTAATAAATAAAGATATTTATGTTAGTAGTTTGATAATTTTGTCTTTATAGTGATGCTCTAAAAAATACATTTTGTAGAGCAGAAAAGTCACAGTAAAAGGGACTTTTACATATAAGTCGCATTTATTTATTATTTATATAAATAATAAATGTGGCAAATTCAAGTTGATTGCAGTGTGCAATTTTGTCATTCTATTTGAGGTGGAGGGGGAATTAGACTTTAGGTTTCCTTTCACGAGGCATGTGTGGATATTGCGGTGACAACCCTAATGTTGAACCCTTTTGCACAAGAACAGAAAATACTATGTCATTGTGCAGAACAAGAAGAAACGTAAGGTAAAAAAAGAAATGCAATATGTTAAATTCAAACCTGACGCTGTAGTTAAAAAAACACATTTCACACTTTACAAACCACACCAAGAACATTTCCCCTTTTCTTAACTTTTTTTCGCTTTATATAAAAAAAACGCTCCTGAATAACACACTCCTTCAGCTTCCACCGATATGTACACATTATTACACAGTCAAAATGATCCCTGAAAGTCTTCTCGACATTTTCTACTCCTAATTAGCTCCTTAATTGTGTTCAAACAGCTGCGTGTGATTTGAGACCTTCTTGGAGACAACTGAAACTCATTTATAGTCGTGTGTTCAGTGATTAAGCTGTCACAAAGTAATTGTTAATTATTTGTGTTGCTTTCTAAATTGGTCGCTAATGTTTCTGGGTGATCTTAAATTGAGCTCTACTGACTCCTGTTGGCAAGATATTGCATTGCCGTTGGATACTAAACTGAGGATTCTAGTTGTTGTCCAAACGATGTGGGTGTTTTTTGGTTGTTTTGTTTTGTTGTTGTTATTTGTTTTTTAACAAGCAAGAAAATATCACCACGATTGTAAGTGGATTGTGTTGGAATTTATTTAAATACCCCTGCTCCCACCCTTTGGTTCAGATGTGTAATAACAGTCAAGTAGCTTATGTAAGAATGCAAGAGTCACTAAAGAACCGCTACATATATTGCTGTATTTTTCGGTAACGTAATATATCCGTGGCTGTTACTGTAAATATAGTACCGTTATACAACACAGTTCGTTCACAATTATAGTTGTATACAATTATACTATATATTTAAGCTACTTTTACATATATTATAACAATCAATAGAACACATACACACGTGTCAATAATACAAGAGATTTAGTTATTATTAAAGTGCTCTGCTAAAGCTATAAAATAAACATAGTTAAAAAGATGAAGATTTTAAATATTGTTCTAAAGGAAACATAACAGAAAATAATAACAACTTTTTGTTTGTGCATTAACTACAGTTTTTCAACAGCGGTGAAACACAATTAACTTCTTCTATGACACATGGTTGGAAATACACCAGCCCTAGCTATCTTATCTGTCCACTGTCTACCATTTGGATTAAACATTTTATACATTATTTTTGATTGGAAATAATACAATAAAAAAAATTAATAATTATTTTTTAATAAACAACCTTAAGGTAGTTTTATCCCCAATATGAGCCCACAGAAGTCCACAGAAGAAAGACAAATTTAATAACCTTCCTCAAATGAATTAATAAATTAATCGAATTTGTTTAAACCCGTATTTTACTTATAACCCCCCAAAAAATTGGATCAAAGAAAGGTAAGACTGAACAAGTCAAGTAAACCTGGATATTATTTAAATCAGCAGGTTAGCTAGTATTTGATTTTGATATTGAATTTTGGTAGAAAAGGAGCATCCACTAAAGGTACAAAACCTAAAATGTATGAACATGTATGTACTTTAAACAAAAACCCAAGAAAACTAGATATATATAAATATATATAAATATATAATATAATATAATATATATAATATATATATTATATAATATAATATATAATATATAAATATATTTGTCTCTAATTAAGATGGAATACACAATTCTCATAAGTAATCTATATTTTTGCCCATATTACACCAGTGTAGTGTATACTCCCAGTCAGTCCTCATTATATTAACACATCTTGTACTTGATGCATTTTTTCTACTTACTTTGAGGAAACCTAGCAGACAGCTGATCAGTGTCCTGACTGTTGACTGATGGAGAACTGAACAGAGGTGCAGTCACTAAGGTGGAGTTAGTCACCGAACTGACTTGAGTGCTAGTGCCCACGGTCATCGCAGCAGTGGCAGATGGGTAAAAATGGACATCCACGGCTACTGTAGTAAGACCCAAGGAGATGTGGTGAGACAGCAGCAGAGGGGGGTTGCCATGTGAGATACAGAGGCTGTGCCGGACCGGAGCCAGCCACTGTTCTGGACTTTGGAGGGTTAATGAGGAGTGGAGACCCTCTTCTCTTCTGGACCGGGGAGAGGAGGAAGATGATTCTGATGGGGAAGGTAAGAACGATGGTGGGGGTAAATGATCCTGGCACGGGCTGTTGTCCCTGTTTCTGATCCAGTTCTCGGCACACTCTAACTGGATGTTGGGCTGGGACATGGTGCAGCCCTTCTCCTCCTCCAGATAGGGATCAATCTGAAAAATAAGTGAAATGTTATCATTTATTACCATCACTTTAAACTTAAGGTACTTATATATCCCCAATCTGAGCCCCTATTTCCTCAGAATAGAGTCTGCAGGAGACAGATTTAAATTTAATAACCTTCCTTAAATGCAATATAAACCTAAATGTAATTTGTTTTAACCCATGTTTAACTTATAACCCCCCAAAATTAGATTAAAGAAAGTGTAGAACTAAAGATGACACGTATAAATGTGGATTTATAAAAAAAAAAAAAAATACGATTAATCAAGTTATGATGTTATTATTCCATATATAATAGCAGTTTTACGTGTACATTATGTGTTTACCTCATAAACTACATCCTACAACGCACACACTTTAACATTGCATGGATGTTGATATGCCAAATCCCCCCGCCCCCTGACCCCCCATGGCCTGCTCTTACGAAGAACTTAAAGAAGAACTTAACTTATCCTAAACCCCTTGTATTTAACTAGTTTGGGTTTACTTGTTTATTTGATTTCATTTTTATTGATTTAAATTATTTTTATTTGATGTTCCTCTCACTCCTATTTCCTCTTTGATATGTGATATACACCACTGCAATAATTTTTGTTTGGGCTTTAAAATGTACGATTACTATATTTTTGACTGAGTTCATCATTATTCGTGTAATATTGGTTGTTTAAATAAAGTTATTAAACATTGCGTGGCTTAATTAATTCCTGATTCCAAAACTAAGTGGGGGGCCGAGGGTCAAGTCACAGAATGCACGTATGTTATTCGAACCACACAGGAAATTAAAGTGAACTCCTTGTCATTGTGACACAGCTCACCACTGCACACAACCAAATGTGACCTCTGCTTTGAACTCATCACCAAAGAGAACATTGAGCAGCTTTAAGGGGAACAGTGTGTGGGGACAGTGCCATGCTCAGAGCACCTCAGTGGTAACTTGGCAGCTGGTGGATTCAAACTTGAAACCTTAACCACTAAGCCACCACTACAGATGCCACAGACGAGTGACGTTAAAGTAATTTTCATTAACGGCTTATTGCTGCGTCAATCTTGAAATGAAAATGTTTTACGGAAGCGTGTTGCTGCCACACTGAGAAAAAAATTACAATTTTTTTTTTTTACAAATTTACAATTTAAAGTAACACTGCAAACAGTTTTAATTTTAGTACGTGCTAACAAAAACAATATAATATAGACCATAAAAAATATATAGTGTTTTTATAAACCGCCTGTTGAACCACCTGCACGGTAACGGATAGTTAAGAATTGTGTATCGACGCGTTAAAGACGTTTAAATTAAACAATATTGAACCTAAGTGTTATTATTAAAAAAAAAAATTACATTCGATTGAATGTGAAAAGTGCAGAGTTGGAACAATAATCCAGTTCTAGTTCAAGTTTCAAAATTCTTCCGGCCAAAAAACACATGCTATTTGTTCGTGTGTAAGTCCTCAAACCTTTGCGTCAAGTATGGGCTCCGGATGAGTCTCCACAGTGATAGAATGGTTGTTCAGAGAAGCTTTGTCTTTTTGGAGGCCATGTGGGGGCGCTATCTGCACAGTGACCAGGCTGGGTCCCGGTGGTCGTGCCCTGGTGTCTGGGCTCTGCTCAATTACTGCCACACAGTCGTCATCCTCAAAAGCCCTGGGTGAAGAACACAGTTTTCTTTAATATGTCTTTTACATAAAGATAATTTTTAAGGCATATTTATGAACCGCAGTGACATATTTACCTGTTTTCGTAGGTACGTCTGGCCTGTCGTTTGGGTACACCAACATTCCTTTGAGCTGTTAAGAACATGACATTTAGCTTTAAATTAATCATTTTTTACATTTCAAAAATTATATTTAGAGCTGATTTACCCTAGATTTATTTTGGCTGCATGTGTAAAAAATTGAGAACTTTTTGAAGAGAACATATAGTTTTCCGATGACGTCACGCTACTACCCATAGTTCCGTAGTCCACCATCTTGTGGGGCAACAGAGTGTATAGATAGATATTAAATACACAAAAGAACACCGATAATGGCAAATAGCTGTGTTGTCAGGGGCTGTACCAACCGATCTGGGAATGGAGATCGCAAGATGAAGTTTTTTGACATAAAGCGATCTGTCACCAAGGGAAGCTGACGGAGGACATTTCGACAGAAAGAAGGATGCTATGGCTTTCACGTATTAACCGTGCTAATTTCAACCCTGATCCAGGCAAAAGGCAATCTGTTCTGAACACTTTATTTTGGGTAATTACATTATATTTTTATATAATTCATATGTTCAATGTCAGTAAAATTATAATTAAAATAAATTAAAATGTACTTTGCATTCATGACAAATGTACACAATACAAATGTAAATCGTCAGCTGACCACAGTCCATATCATTATCAGTATTGTCTATGTACATGTACAATCAAACTATTTTTATTTTAATGAAGAAAGTAAAAAATAGATTTTTTTGTGTGATTTTTTCATGTAAACTGTTATTCTAATGATGTTCACAAAAGACATACATCCGTACATGCCACTGTGATTTTTACATTAACACGCTGTATTATTTGGGTGTTAATAAATACCCTATGATATACATTGTCTGGCCAACTTTCAATGTCCGTCCGCTTCCACTCAGC